CTCACACACACACACACACACACACACACACACACACACACACACACACACACACACACACAAACACCGTTGCAGAAAGCAACATCTCATACGATATGAAGACGACTGGTTTTTGTGGGATGAATAGTGCAGCTGTACAGGCTTAGGTTCAGAGTCTTAAGACAATCCCATATGGGAATGGAGACATGATATTTCCGAGTGACTGACTTAGAGTGCGACTGTAATTGCAGAGTGTGAAAAGTGCCTTGGTTGAAGAGCGGGAGCGGCTATTCGGTCTGCTGTCAGAGATTCCATTTCTCCGACCATACCCTAGCCATGCGAACTTCATTCTGTGCAGCGTGCTTGGTGGCATGGACGCAAAGAAACTCAAGGTAAGGACTCGAGCTCATTCAACAGATTTCTTCAGTTAACCTTATCGCCTGCCACCGCTTTTCGTCGTTTCCATTGTTTCCTTTCTTTATTTGAAACAGATGTCAGATCGAGCTGATGACCTGTCGACTAGCATTTGCATGTCGACTGATGATCGTTTCCCTTCTTTCCTTCCCTGGCTTTTATTGCTCCCATTCCGTCAGGATTCGAGCTGATGACCTGTCGACTAACATTTGCATGTTGTACCATTCAGCCAAAAGCGCTGAGCTGTTCGTAGTTTCCAAATGAAACCATGGGCTGACTGCGTCTTCTTCCCCCCGCGAATACGATGGGCGCGGCATCATGAATGCATTTAATAATTTTAATTCCGTTAGGAATTTAGGACCACATCATGAATGCATTTACTTTCCTGTTTAGTTCTCACCACCCACATTGCAGTCAATCAGGAAATATTCAAATAAATGCAATGAGAGACGGTGCTGCAGCCACAATGAGAGGGTGCTGGCAACGAGGGCCGTCGCTCAGTTGGTACATGCCCATGAACTGTTGAAATGCAGACTCATGTTCGAACTTCGAATGTAGATGCAGAGAGGGTGGTGCAAACAAGGGCGAAGTAAAGACCCTCATAAATCTCTACTTTTGGGCACTGACTGGCCAGTCTTTTTTTTTGTTTGAAAACCTGTGCCTTGTGCTAGAAGGGGGAGGGGGGGGGGGTTGATATGAGCATCCCCCTCTAGCAGCACCTGCTGCAGGTAGCTCCGGTTCATTGGTGGGGAGCAGCATGTGCTGGAAACCGGGTCCATGGGCACTTGTCTGGAATCTGAAGACAAAACTCTACTCTCGACTGAAGTCCTCTGTGGAATTTTGCCCCAGTAATCCGTTTGAAAGTTTAAAGTTTAAAATTTAAATACGTTCTACTCATATTTCAACTCACGAGTATTACGTAAATCCCAAGTCTCCAACTAAGTGGGGCTTATTAGAGAATCCTCTTCGTATCCAACGTAGATATAGCTTGGCTAGACTACCTCTGACTGAACTGGTTTTTTTTTTTTTTTTTTTTTTTTTTTGAAAACCCATGCCAGTGTGCTAGAGGGGGTGATATGAGCATCCCCCTCCAGCAGCAAGTGCTGCGGGTTGGTCCGGTCTATTTGTAGGGAGCAGCACATGCTGGAAGCCGGGTCCAGTGTCCCATAGCGCTGGTATTTATTCGTGCAACTCTGCAATGAACCCACTCCTGAGATTTATGGGCTCAAAATAGGGCTCAGTGCCCAGATGTGCTGTCCCCCTCTGTGGTCTGCTGTCCAGTGCAACAGGGGAATGACCTGAGATTTATGGGCTCAAAATAGGGCTCAGTGCCCAGATGTGCTGTCCCCCTCTCTGGTCTGCTGTCCAGTGCGACAGGGGAATGAAAATGGCGTCTTATTTCTGTTCTGCTTTGTCTCGCCTAACTTTTTCCTGGCACAAACGGTTTCCTGGCGCTTGCCAATGATAAGCAAACAGACTGGTGGACCCCGGAATAGACGAGGCGTGTGCTTTGTGTGCTAAAAAAAGAGGAGGAGATGCTCACAATGTTACCCCCGCGCATGAAGTCATCACATATGCAGTGTTGTCTCAAAATGCAGCAGCAAGTAGATAGACAAAGACGAGGGAGGAGAAGAAATAGAGAGAAAAGAGGAGGAAAGTTTCACTAGCAGTCGATGTTTACAACGATGCGGCTCTTCCATCCCCGTTCCCACTCTTCACTCCCCACCCTATCCCGGTACTCTAGCTTTGGCTACCGCTACTCTCTCTCTCTCTCTCTCTCTCTCTCTCTCTCTCTCTCTCTCTCTCTCTCTCTCTCTCTCTCTCTCGCTTGCCAGCCCTCTGTCTAAGCCTCCTCCTCCATTGCTAGCGCTCTGGTGAGGTGCTCCATCACCAAGCAGCGCGAGCCAGGAATGAACGAGACAACCGGGGCTGGCCTTTCTTTTCTAGAGTTGACTCAGCCCCTTTCTTTTCTAGAGTTGACTCAGCCCCTTTCTTTTCTAGAGTTGACTCAGCCCCTTTCTTTTCTAGAGTTGGCTCAGCCGCGCCTGCCTCCACGGACAGCTGAGACCCCTGAGAGTTCTTGATCTGGGCGGCCCATATTTATTTTTCGGCTGGTGTTTGCCTGGACCCAGTGGGACTCAGATACTTCTTGGGACTGCACTGACACATTGGATCTCTGCGAGGTCTGTGGCCGTGGTTGACTCGTGAGAAATCTATGACTCTTTGATCGAGTTGGGCCGAACTGTCGACTCTCCTAAAGTCGACTACTGGCTCTGGGGTCCACAGTGAGCCTCCTTTGACCGTAGACCGAGTTCCCTTTGACTCGAGGATGTTCCGGCACCCATTCCAAGGCTGTGGACGTGACTTTGGACCCCTGAATGCTGACTGGACCCTACCGTCTTCACCCGAATAGAACGCCCGGTCATTACAGCCGTATTTGTTGCAATTTTCAGCCCAGATACAGCAATAATGACCAGGCGTTCTATTCGGGTGAAGACGGTAGTCTGTTTCTTTGCGGGTTCTGAACATGGTTCTGTGCATGTTTATCTAGAGCCTACTCAATGATTTGCATTCTGCTATATGAAGCTGGACTCACAAGCGAGCCGTGTACGCGATCCCCGATATCGCAGGGGTTGTCACAACCTATCAGTCCATCTGGCATGCGTAAGGCACCCATCAGTGGAGGGAAGAATTAGACAGCAGCCACCAAGCGGTTTTCTTTTCCTTTTCTCTCTTTTCAAAGGGTTTGAGCTAGATGCACCGGTAGCTGACCCCAGGTTAATTGGCAAATTAACAACTGGGTTTCGCCCCATTTGAGCGTGGAATTGTTTGGACATAGCCAGAACTGAAATTTGTGCGGAGTCTTCTCAAGTCTTCACACATATCCAAACTCAACAGTCGACGACTCTGCACAATATCATCACCGCTGACTCCGCACTTACGTCCAGTCGGTGATGGTCTCATCCGAACTCGACAGTCTTGGGCATAGCCATGTTCGAAGTTCCATGCCCTCATCGGTCATTCCACCTGCTCGATATCATCGTGGACCTAAGTGGGCCTTCAATCCCGCATATTTCATTTGCAACTACAGTCATGCAACCACAATGGGCCAGCCACTGGGACCGTCTCAGCAGGTTTCTGCTTCTTTCTTCGGATTTTTGTTGTAGTCCCGTCTTGGCAAGGCCGTTACGAATTCCAGTCACATGGACATAGCAGCTTGACCTAAGGGCCCGGTCCGACTGGTGATATGTTGAAAGTGGGAGGGCCTTGCAGGCAACACCACAAACAGAAAATGGCAGCAAGGCAACGACTCAGCGAAGCACTGGCCAACGCTAACGGGGAGACAGAGCAAGCCGACGGGCAGCCAAATTACAGAGCGCAAAAGCGAACTGCTTGGAGAGACAGAGCAAGCAGACGGCCAGCAAACAACAACACCGCAAACCACAAGGCGCCGCTGACAAAGCAGCCAAACTGCACTGCACGCGAGCGAAGTGCAGGAAAAGGTAGGGCAGTCAAAGGGGCAGCACGACAACAATGCAGCGAGGCAAAGAGCAACGCCGACAAAGCAGTCAAACTACATGGCGAACGGACAAGCTGCAGGGAAAGGACTGGTAGCAGGTGAGCAGCAATGCAGCAGCGGAGGAGCGTGGGCAACACAGTTCATACATCCAAAACCGACCAAAGCAATCGATCACCGACTCAAACCACAATTAGAACCCTGCAGACTGTTGGTTACCGCCACTTGCGGAGCCAGGAAGCCACTCCCACGAATCTCTGCCGTCACTCATGGAAGTGCACCCACAGATATCCCATCGCAAACAGACCGAACCCCCCCCCCCCCCCCCCCCCCCCCTTCCATCAATAGCGTTCGAGGAACTACAAACAAGCAACCACCGACTGTTTGGCACTACTTGGGGGTGCTCACTTTGACAACCAGAAAATACTTGGAATAGATAGAAAGGAAGGAAGACAAACATGCATGAAACTGATTGTGTGTGCGTGTGTGTGTGCCACGGAATCGGATTCAAAAAGGGACAAGCATGTGCGCTTACAACTCTTGGTCCCGTTCTTTTGTGCGTCCTGAAGTCATTTCCCTGTCCGCCAATCACAACCCCAACTCCTCTCCTCTACCCCCTGTGTGCCCCCGCTAACCACTGGCTTAGTGTCGACAAGGCAGGGACATAGCATAAAAATGGTATGGATAAAGCGTGACTTGTCACAAACATGTACGGTGTACAACAGGCGCATATAGCAGAAACATAGGACCACAATCAGACACAGCATCAAAATTATACAGACGTGCCATGTTCATAGTGTGCATGGGAGAATGGTTATGACGTGCCATGTACATAGTGTGCATGGGAGAATGGTTATGTTAATGTTCACGCTGACTCAGCGGTGCATACATAGTGTGGGCATGGCACTTGGTTCGCATGCCTATGTTGTAACAATGAGGTGCTCAGTTCAAGGTCCACTCAGATTCACAATGGCATTGTTGGCAGCACTTCACATTTGCTTATTTCCTGATCGACTAAGCCCATGCGGTTGCGTCCCTGGGTAGGCCCCGACTGTTTTGACTTTTTGACTTCGGAGCCCACTTAGGGGCTGACAACTTGTCAACTTCCCCAGCACATGAGGATTCGTCCCCTTGCCACGTGTCCAGAGAAGGCCTACGTGACCCCAGTTCTACGAGACTGCCAACTTCTCCACATGCGTTGGAGGCCCCTCCAACACAGATCCCATTTCAACCGCGCTAGGGGTCTTGCGAGTTGGATAGAGAACCCCTACAGTCTTCTCAATCCGCAGTCGTATTCCACAATCCTGGAACCAGTCCTGGAACAGTCACAATCCTGGAATCATCCCGGAACAATCCTGCAACAGTCGTGGAAGAATCCCTTACGCTCGGCTTCCAATACAGTCTTCTCAATCCGCAGTCATATTCCACCCCGTCTCCTTCCCTCACCCCCCTACCTTCAGGACCCTCAGACGACTAATGGTGCCCACTCGCGGGGGTGGGAAACTGCTTATGCAATCACACGACATTCGCAATACACTTGCTACTCAAGTCAGATACGCTCTTCCCACCATCAAGCATGCATGCGACTCTTGGGGATATGTGGAGACTCGTCCACATCTACGTAACTGGTGATTGGCCATCTGATATGCCATACTCCTGTATATCCGGCATTTGTCGTCCTGCGGGTGCTATGACATCTTCAGGATCTACGTAGCACCGTATTCGCGTTCGGAGGCGAACACGAACATGTTCGCCCGAACGCGAACAAGTGCCAAAAACCCTACGAACGCAAACATAAAAAATATTTAAAAAAAAAAAAAAAAAGTTCTCAAAAAAATCTGAAAAAAATATATGTTATCATCAGGATGAACAACTCCCCGGCCGTACAGCAACTACAAGACAGATCAGTGCAAGAATGATCCGGTATTTTCTGCATGTCAGTGTTCTGCAATTGCACTCGAGCAAGGACTTGCAGTCGCATCAGCTCTCTCTCTCTCTCTCTCTCTCTCTCTCTCTCTCTCTCTCTCTCTCTCTCTCTCTCTCTCTCTCTCTCTCTNGGGGGGGTCCTGTCATATCAATTTTACTCAAACGAGGACGTTTAGTTCAGACATCCCAATGAGCGGGTTGTCTGTGGGATCGTGCATGCTTGTCATGAATCCTCTATGTCAGGGGGTGGGGCATGGGAGGGGCTGCGGGCGGAGCAAGCAACAGTGGGAAGCAAACTCGTTCCTCTATGTAAGAAAAGTAATAAGATGAACGTCATAATTGGAAATTTAGTTACTGACAGTGACTTTGGGTTTTCTGTTTCATGTGGTTGTGAATCTGCAGGCAGACTTAGCAGCAAAGAAGATCATGGTTCGTCATTACGATAAGGAGCTTCTTAGCGGATACATCCGGGTATCCGTTGGAAAACCCGAACACACCGATGCTCTGATGAAGGCCCTCTGGAGTATTGCAGGGACGCAATCTTGAAGTTTTTTTTTTCTTCTTCTGCGAACACCCTGGCTTCTGCAGCATCTGTGGCGCAAAATGCTGAAAGGCTAAAAGCCCTTGTTGTTTTTGACACCATTATCACCATTTTTAATTCCTTTTAAGTTTTAAGAGTTCTCTCCCATGCAGCACACCAGAGAGCACTGCCAAAGTCTGCGTCACAGGGCCCAGGTATCGTAGTAGACAAGGAAATTGGGATTATCAGGATCCCTTTTTTGTGTGAAGTTGCTGTAGACATACAGCCTAACTCTACCCATACAAGTAGAGTAAGCAGGCAGTTTATCCAATTCTCTGCTGCACCAAGGCCCTGAATGAAGAGCCAGCGTGCAGCGGCATGCACGCACTTCCACGTCGTTCCTTGAGCCCACCGCGTCATAACAAACGAGAGTGTCCCACATTATGATTGGTTGCCGCGTCCTTCTCACGCCTGCCGAACCCATGTTGAAGCCGAAACCACCTCACTCGTTCTGAGTGTTTGCTGTTCCGTTCCCCGAAGCCTCGATTGCTGCTGTGTTGTCCCCTGTAGAACTCAATGAAGCCTCCCCTCTTCTTCTTTTTTTTTACACCCCTGCTGCTGTGCTGTTTGCTATGTCCCTTTCCGCAGAACGAGGAATATTTAGCAGCTCATTCGGATGTGTCATCCCAATGCCATATCCATTCTGATGAAGATCGAAAGTCGAACAACTGTGCTGTCATCGTAAAATCACCTGACCCCTGGACTAAAGGAGGGTTGGTCTGTCCTGAATAATGGGGGGCGTTTGGAAGCAGCAAAGAAAACGTTTTTGTCCAAAGAATGGGTGTTCTGAGGAGGGAAGAACAAGTGTGGTGCGGAGGGATTGATGAGATCATGACATTTCCCCAGGAGGAAAATATGTCTGAAGACTGTGAAGGAGGGAGAGAGGGAGGGGAGCAGGGGAGGGAGGGAAGGTGAAATCGTACTACCACCAGGATAATGGATTTGCATTTATATTCCCGCCCAGTAGGAATCTGGTCCCTTTTTGGAAGGAACAAAGAGATCTTGCAGTGAATACCTCCTTTTTTCCTTTTTTTTTTTTTTTTTTTTTTTTGGTGGGGGGTGGGTTTGTGGCCCTTGTGGGAACGGGGAGGAGGAGAGAGGGCAGCCCTTTGAGCTCCCCGTGACATTAGACGTATAGCGGGTTTCCCGTAGGGCGCAGTTGGAGGAGTGCCACCTGTCCTGACATGATATTAGTCGGATCTTGCAGTGCTCATTTGTGCGGCTGAAAATCGAAATAGGGTCAACGAATTATCCAAAAAAAAAAAAAAAAGACGGCCAAGGCCATGGCTCTTGGTAGTGGACATACAATTATATTCCAAGCTGGTGGACTGTCCTTTTTTGTTTTTTTGGATATAATTGTATGTCCACTACCAAGAGCCATGGTCTTGAACTGTGTATGGTCTGCAAATGCTACAGGCAAATCTTTTGGTGAAGCAGGCGTGATGGTCACGGCTAGAAACTTTGTGTGCCGTAAGCTTCCGGCATCCTTCATTGGCTGTAGAATAAGTTCACAACTTTTTTCCCTTGGAAGTCATGGCATATTTGGCTGCATGCATGCAGTTCCACAATGCATCTAGAAGGAAGAACAGGGAGGTGCGCGCTGTGCATGCAAAGTTTGCAAACACATCGTGTCTGACATCGCATGCGAGGTGCTCACTATTCAAAAGAGAGAGAGAGATGTGTGAGCCTCCTGATTGTGAATGGCTTGTGGAAGCCGGCTCTCTCCTCAGCTCAAGACACACTTAGGTGATGCTTGTGCTGTTGCAAACACGTTCGTGTCAGAGAGGATTTTTTGTTCTCCCGCCAGGTGGATGGTCTTTACCCTCTTTGTAGAGAGACCGATTCACCCTCGTTGTAGAGAGACCGATTCACCCTCTTTGTTTTCTATGGAGACTCGTTGGAAAGTTGTCTTCACCCACACATAAAAAATAAAAAAGCCCCAGTGCTGCCGCACGATCGCCTGTTTTCGAAAAGGAAAAAAAAAACTATTCTTTTATTTTGCATGGAAATGGCCAGCCAGCCGCCGTATGGAGAGCGTGGGCTTTCACAACCTTTTGAGACTGTTGAATTTGCGAGATTGGAAGCAAAACAAACTTCAGGGAGGCGCAGCTACTGGCAAAATACTCGGTCTTTGCGTTAGCCGGACCCCCACCGGCGGCCCTACCCCATCTCTGACTATCGCTGTTGGGGCGGGGGGCAACATGAATCACCTCGTTTGCGAGGCCCTATGCTTGCAGGGGTCCCCTCTATGTAGTCTTAGGAGTAGTGGTAGGAAGGTAGTGAAAGGCGAAAAAGAATTTGAGAGAAGAACAGTGTAGTTAAAAAAAAAAAAAAAAAAAAAAACTTCGCACTTCAACAACACATGGAGGACGAAAAGGCGCATCGGCAGAAAGTGGTGGGCAAACTGGTACTTGAGTGGTCTTCTTTAACGCCAAGAGGAGCACGTCCTTCAAATCCCCCCAACTGGTCCTTGCTTGCATCTCACTCTGCCCCACTTCATGGTTGAGTGACTTGCATTCAAAGCTCTGCCAATCACGAGGTTCGTGCAATCTGGCAGGCTCAAACTTCCAAAGCAGAGCTGCGAAACATCATGGCAGTGGAGCTGAATGTAGCAACCTATGGAGCGCTTCCGTGGTGCAACAGAATGGCAGCGAGGAGAATAGATTAGCACAAGAATGTAGTTCTCCCCTGTGTGTCCAAACAATGGGCAACGGGGGACTCCCGTTGACTCCCGTTAAATTCCGTTTGAACGAACACGTTGAATGGCTCCAGAGACCCCTTTGACTCCCATTTGCCCGAAAAACGGGGGTCTCCCGTTGAATCCCTGAAAACGGGATGGGTGCGTTGGGCCTTGGACACATGGCCCTACACAACTGCGCACTCAACAACCCCACCTCCCCCCCCCCCCTTAAATACAAAAAAAAACAAAAAGCAAAAATCCCCACCCCCCCGAAGGACCCCTCCTACCACCACTTACCAACCCCCTGACACCAGTCCCCAACCCCCCCCGGGAAGCCCTACTTCAAGCCCCAACCCCCCTTCCCCCTGTCTCTTATACACATCTAGATGTGTATAAGAGACAGGTATCGCACCTGCTGGTGGGTGCAGCTCCCGCATGTTCCCTCGTTGGAGGCTTGAGCACGGATGTGGCTGCTACGGGGTTCCCCGTAATACTATAATGAGTATTAATGACAATAAAAAAAAGGCCTGAAAGAACGTCCTGTCCAGATTTGACAGGTAATTGAAGTGGTTGGGCTTAAATAATTAGCCTCAAAAAAAAAAAAAAACTGATTTCATCTTTTGTTTTTTTTTTCATTGTGTTTATGTTTTTATTTTTAAAAACCACGAAAAAAATCATCGCGTATCCTGGTGAAACCCTTCGCTTCGGCGTTTAAACACCAAATCAACGGGGACCCCCGATTGAATCCGTTTACAGACACACAGGTTCTCCCTGAGGAGAGTGTAGATGCCACAGTGAAGCCAAAGGAGGCAAAGACTGTGGAGGACATTGCAGGAGCGGAGGACGCCATTGGGTATGTTAGAGAGGGAGAGATACGCATAATCAAGAGTGATTAAACGAGAGAGAGAGAGAGAGAGAGAGAGAGAGAGAGAGAGAGAGAGAAACATCTGATATGAGGTGGTTTCCCACTCAGATCCTTTAAGAGAACTGGCCGTTCAGTGACCGAAACATCTGATATGAGGTGGTTTTCCACTAAGAGAGAGAGAGAGAGAGAGAGAGAGAGAGAGAGAGAGAGAGAGAGAGAGAGAGAGAGAGAAACATCTTATATGAGGACTACCAGTAGCGTTTCAGTGACCGTAGAGAGGAGCTTTTCCTTGCTCCTTTTGGTCAGAAGCTTTTGTAGAGAAATAATGGTTTCCATGCACCGTTCGTGGTCATCACCCCACAGAAATTCAATATGCGGGTGATACTGCTGCGATACCCATCATGGCAGGGATAGCGCAGTGGTTGGGAACTCTTCCGGCAAGAGATGCAATCTTACCATGTAATACAAGAGCTTGGGCAACACCCTGTGTTCCGGCAAGAGAAGACTTGGTGGTCATTTTTATCCAGAATAATTGCACGCTTACCTCTCCGAAAAAGCACGACTAACTTAACGGTGACTAGCGCAAAGGCGTTCACAAGGCAAGCATAAAATTCTAGCAAACTTCCCAATCGTACATGCGAGTGTTTTAGACTGCAGCAGCTCTGAGTGGAACGAATACAAGAAAACACCGTGGTTGAAACATTCCACAGTGAAAACTCGATGCGTTTGTTTGAAACATTCCACTTCCACAATGTACGTCTGTGGCAATTTGGCAAACCAAAAACGATTTTGTTTACACTTCAAATTTTAAACAAATAAAAAGGAAAGGATATGCAAAAATAAACTAGTTTGGACTGAATGAATGCGACCATGGGAAAGTGACAATAACAGTGCAAAAGGTTCTTTTTGACAAATCCATCAAGCGTGCCAACGGCCTTAGCTCGGTTGGTATATACCCATGAACGGTTGTATCGCAGACGCGAGCTCCGAGTCCACATGGAACCAAATGACGAGAAATCCTGAATTACCCAGCGCCGGTCAGTGTCCCGAGAAATCCATCAACCTCGCTGCAGAGCTATTGAGGTTCTTACTTCGCCATCCCGGAACCCCACAGGTTCTCACCCAGGGCCTGTACTTCGCACCTCTATTACGTCCCTCGCTAATTTCCTCGCTAATTTCCTCGCTAATTTCACCTCTATTACCCCACCAGTTGATCCTCGCTAATTTCACAGATTCGTCCCTCGCACCCTCAAGGGCCTCAACAAAGCCAGATTCAATTCACGACGGTTCTGTCCAACTTGAAGACTCAGCAGGGCGGCAATCACAAGAGTGGAAACTCTTCACACAGCAAAAGCCGGCAGCTGGCAAACCCCATGGAAGACTTCATCAGATCTAATCTGCACTCTGTCTGAGCAGTATTGAAGCGCGCAGATGGAAGACTTCATCAGATCTAATCTGCACTCTGTCTGGGCGTGTCGAAGCGCGTATATCTTCTGAAAGGCGGACCAATAGAAAAAGAACTCGTCTAAAAAAGAACTCGTCTGAACGGAGTGTACAGTTGTAAACACGGCAAGGCATATTTTGTTGAGATAAGACCTAAAAAGTGTCAGAGCCTTTTTAACCCATTTATGCAAGTCTAAATTGGACCTATTTAATGCCACAAGCGTTAAACGGAACGCCGGGGAGTAGCTAGGCTACCAGAGTGGCCTGGAGCCACTGCCCGGCCGGGCCAAAAAATATAAAAATAAAAACAATATTTTATTATTTTTAATTTTTATTTTTTATTTTAAATTTGGTTAAGAATTTGGATGTGACCCTGAGGCAAAAGTTGTTCAGTTTATTTTTCTGCATAATATAGGTTTTTTTTTTTTTTTTTTTTTTTTTTTTTTCTGGGACTTTCCCTGCTCCTTGCACGGGCTGGTCACCAAGGACCCGGGCGGCTCAGCTTGTAGCCTAGGGGAATAGGCAACGGGCGGACCGACGGGTAGTTTGGAGGGGCCCACAACCAGGTCATTGGGTGTCCATCCACAACGAGGAAGTGGGGGCAGGGAAAAACATGCATCCCCTTCCTTAATTGTGAGAGGTAGCTATGTTGGCAGGAGTTCCCTGTATAGGCTTAGGAGTAGTGCTGCTCGGTAGATAGCGAAAGGTGAAATCAACTAGGCTACCAGCCGGGCCGCCCGGGTCCCGGGTGGCCAGCCCTTGCAAGGAGGTCCCAGCAAAAAAAAAAAATCCAAAAAATCCGAAAACAAACTATGTTATGCAGAAAAATAAACGCAACAACTTTTGCCTCAGGGTCACATCGAAATTCTTCACCAAAATTAAAATAATTTTTTTTTTTTTTTTTTTTTTTTCGCCCGCCTGGGCAAGTGCCCCCGGGCCACTCTGGTAGCCTAGGAAATCAAGACAAAATGGCACTTTTCCCGTCTGCCCATGAAGTTGCTTCCCACCTACCGTTTTCACCC